GTAAAGGTTTCCCTTGCTTGAAAGCCAGTCGAATCCAACTCTAGGGGGTGGTGCTCATCTCCGTCTCCAAGCTGAAGAGCCAGCGCCGTCCAAAGACATTTCTGTGGTCATATGGCTGGCATGACTAAATGCTGAGGCGAATGGAACGCTGTCATGGGGAACCCAATTTCAAATCCCATTCAGCTTGAAGTTCACCAAGTGGCCTGGAGGAAGTGACTCCAAGCAAGTTTTTGCAAGGGTTAAAAATGGCCACTCCAAGTTTCCCAAGGAATAAGGGGCAATAAAGTATTTATCTCACAGGGTTAAGAATCCCAAGAATGAGGAAGAGACAGAGGCAAGAAGAAGAGCTAATCTTCACACTGCCATAGGGATTGTAAGCACCCGCACAGACCCAACACAGAATAAAATACTCATGATAATATTGTAAATAAAATAATAAGGAGCACCTCTTAAGGAACTTGAGGCTTACTAGGCTTTTATAAGGTAAATTTCCCCTGGTGTACCTTTCAGGTTACACAACGCTCTCTTTCCTTGCTTGGCCTCATCCTGATGCTTGTTAATTACTGGGGCCAAAACTATATCCTGTGCCAGAATTCCCAAGTTGTCCATAGGGAAAAAAATGTCCACAATTGGAATGATGGTTTGGTTGGCATAATCTTATTCTGAACACAGAGAACCATGTGCAAGTGTTGCAAAACCAAAAACAGGGCAACGGGGAAGGAGAAAGTCAGAAGAAAACACTGTATTTGGGAGAAAGTGATTCTAGGACCATTACCAGTAACGGTTTGCATTCATGAATGTAAGCTGGAAGCCGATCAGTCCATACAGATAGGAATGGTTGTTCCAGATTGTTTTGTCCAGGAAGAAGATATACCAGTACGGCAGCAGGAAGAGCAGGCAGCTGAGGCGGTAGAAGCAGCCCAACATGATCCCCAAGGCACCTGTTGCCAGAGGGAGGCAAAGTTACAGTCATTCTCTCCACCCTCCCACCATCTTCATAGGCAAGTGAATAAGTTTGCCTTGGAGGGATCAGGAGAATCAACAAGGAAGTTCAGGGAGTGAGGTGGTTTTCTTCAGCCAGCAGACCCACCCTTGCCCCCCAATGGAACAAAGCCCTTCTCAGGGACAGAAATGACCTCCCAGAATCCTTACCCAGCAGCATAACCACATAGACCACATACATCCAGTCCAGTGGCAGTGGCTCCAGGAAGTTGAAGAGGGGGAAGCGACACACCTGCAGCCCATCCAGGTATTTGTGGTCCAAGTAGCTCAAGCCCCGCTCCTGTGGAATGTCCAAGGCCATCAGCAGCCCTGAGAAAAGGACAGAGTGAAGAAGTGAAACAGAGGTCAATTACAGCAACAGAGCAGAGCAAGAGGAAGGACCCTACTTGGCACAAGTAGGTCAGAGGAAAAGAGCCAGGCCCTGACCTGGATAGCCCAGGCAAGCCCGATCCTGTCAGATCTCAGAAGCTAAGCAGGGTCGACTCTGGCAAGTACTTGGATGGATGGGAGACCTCCTTGAAATACCAGAGGTGGGAGCTGGGAGCAGGCTTTACTCAGCCACCTCTCTGAATATCCTACAGACCCCTGTAGGGGTCAGTCACCAGAGGTTGCCATGACTTCCAGGTGGACATACACATGCACATATGAAAAATACAAAAAAAAAAAAGGAAAAAGGAAAAGAGCCAGGATGAATGGGACCCCAGCTCAAGTGTGCCAGGCACAGGAACCCTTGGGGGAAAGAGACCATTGTGGAAAACTGAGGTCTACTCTACTATTCCCTATGAACCATGACCATCAAGAGAAAGGATATGGCAGGGAGGTGAGATGAGCTACACTCTGCTGATGCGGCTTTAACCATGACTGCATTTCTTACACTGAATGTAAAAAACATTCTCCACTTCCACTACTCCAGTTTGTTTTATTGTCATTGCTACAGCTGCTGTTCTGCTCTCACAACGTAACGTGGTTTGAATCTGACTCTTGACAGAAGTGCAGTTCTGGTTCGATCCATACCTCTTGTTGCTCTGAGTTTCAAACTTGAACCAAAAACACCACTCTGATTCAAAGGCATCTTCTAACATCCCCAGCCAGGGGAAGAATATTAAAAGTGAGCCGACATACAAAACAAACAAACAAGCTTTTTTTTTTTACATGGCCAACGTAACAAATGCAAACCAGAGACGGGCACAGCAGCCTCTTAGCCCTGAGCCTCAGCAGGGAAAGTCAGTCAGGCCTTGAGGCTGCAGTTTCCCGATAAAGGGAGCTTTGAACAGAGGAGGTGCCAACTTTCTCACCACTTCCTTTCCCCAAGCTGACCTCCTGAGGGGGCGGCAGCATGCTGCCAGGAAATGGATCACAAGGGCCTTCTGTGCAAGACTAGGAAGCTGAGGCCTCTTCAGGTTGTGCTCAGGAACATCCACTCCAACATGCAGCTCCAATTTACCAGCATTTACTGTAAGTGGGAGAAGTGGTCTCCCAGCTACCTCACCAGTTGGTGCGCTATTGCAGGCAACTCCAGAAAATGGTCGGAGTCCACACTCTTTTATCAGGGCATGGACAAGCGGCTGGGAGAAGCAGCCAAGTTGCTGGAAGTTTCCAAACACAGGGAGAGAAACGTAACAGTGGCAGTAGCAACCTAATTAGAGTAGCAAGGGAAGGAGGAGGAGGAGGAGGAGGAAGAGGAAGAGGAAGAGGAGGAGGAAGAGGAGGAGGAAGAGGAAGAGGAAGAAGAGGAAGGAGGAGGAGGAGGAAGAGGAAGAGGAGGAGGAAGAAGAGGAGGAAGAGGAGGAGGAGAATGGATTTATACCCCGCCCTTCACTACCCAAAGGTGTCTCAGAGCGGCTTACAAACTCCTTTCTCTTCCCCTCCCCACAACAGACACCCTGTGAGGTAAGTGGGGCTGAGAGAGCTCTGACAGAAACTGCTCTTTTTTCAAGAACAGCTCTTATCAGAACTACGACTTGCCCAAGGTCATCCAGCCAGGTGCAAGTGGAGGAGTGGGGAATCAAACACGGTTCTCCCAGATTAGAGTCCGCACACTTAACCACTACACCAAACTGGAAGCAATGTAAGATCCATCAGTCCAGATTTGCAGATGTTGCTAAACTACTAAACTACTATACAGAGAATATTTGGATGGATCATGCTTGTGCTATGTCAAGCAAGCAAGCAAGCTGCAGGAAAGCTACCCCTCAAAAAAAAAACCCCACACAAACCCAAAGAACATAGTTATAGTTTTGTTGCCAGCCAGTCTAACCTGCAAAAATTGCAGCCTGCCCTAAAATGTGAGGATGTTAGTCCCTGAAAGTGTAACAAAACTGTTCAGTGAATCTTTCACCAAAAAAGAGAGAGTTTTTAACCTTCAAGCATAAGTCAATGCTTCCTTATGTGTCTAGGTGAGAGAAATAAAAACTAACCAGGTGAAACAACCTGTCTTACTTCAAAATCACTTTCAAGGTACCAGATCATACCTTTTTATTTCATAATTCATGCTGTTTTCAAACTAGCACATTGTTTCAAGGTAGGCTGCCTTTTGGCTGCAGAGATTTTGTTCTCCATGAAAAGCCTGTACTTTTTTCTTTGTCCTATGCTGGCTTGCCTCTTAAGAACAGTACTGGACCAGGCAAACTTTGGCTGTGACTCTAAGAATACCCTCCTAGGAATAAGCCCCACTAAATAAGCCTAACTTCTAAGCAGACCTGCTCAGGATTGCTCCTTTTGTTTCTTCTTGAACCATAATTAGAGAAGCTATTTTTGCTCCCAATTGAGCATTTCATTGCCAAAGTAAACACGAGATACAGTCCCCAGGAATGAAGAAACTATGTAGGAAAGCCAATGCTGCACCTCTTCACATGCAGACCACATCTTTAATCAAACCCAATGGAACACAGATGGTCCTACGCTGTATGGACAGAGTGGTCTGGTCACATGGCTTTCAAATAAAACTGCCTCTGCTTACATTTACGCATGTGGGAGGTGAATGGTAAGAACCTCTGAACGTGAGCCAGGAGGATATCTTTGGAATTTCAACAAATGGAGCAGAGCTGGAGCCTTTCCAATACCAGATGGATTCCTGTCAGTTTGAGCAATCTCTGGGCAATATTTCAAACAGTACTAGGCATAGCTGCCTCAAGAGAACAGGCACTGCCCACTACCACTTGCTCTCCCCCCTGCCAAGTCCAAAGTCTTCCTCACTTCCTGATAAGGTGGAGGGCAGCAACATTAACCAAAGTGTGGAAACAGGGGTTGTTTTGCCCAAATGCGTGGGATGTCTGTCGCTCACCTAAAATGCTGGCAGATTCTACTACTACTGTGCTTGAAGTTACAACATAAGGAGTTGTGGACAGATCTGTGACAGGATGTGGAGACCTTGTGGCTGTATTACATTGCAACTTTCTCTTTACTTCTTTTATATCTCTCAGGAAAACTGTAGGTTATGATGGCCAAAGAAAATGCCCAGGCAGATTTGGAGAGTAGCTTTGTAAAGGACAAGACAAGCCTACTGGAAGAGATAGATAATGTTGAAGTGGGGGGGAGGGAGCAACTGCTCTGTAAACACACCCCAAGCAATTATCACATCTGGAGTCAATGGTATGCCTGCATCTTCTGGGAGAAAGGCCATCCCAAGCTACATGCCCCGCCTATCCCAAATATAACAGTGAAAGTACCACAAAAAAAGCCACCATTCTTGAAATGTATGCCTAGTTTTTATACTTGCTAAAACATGCTAGTACGTGGCACACAAATCCATTTCAGATGCTGGAAACAGAGCCAATGTCCCTAGTCTCAGTGACAGAAGCAGAGTATCATCACTGTTCTAACAGAAAACTTTATGATTCAGCACATACCAGCAAAACAGCAAAACAGGTCTACTCACACAAAAGTTAAGGGGTTCTGTATAAGTGAAGAACTCAATATTATTTTGTAAACTTCAAATAAACTCCCCAGTCTGATGAGGAGGAATGAGCAAGCTCATTGCCCTTCTAATGTTGAAAGCAATGTAAATATCAATTAAAGAGAGAATAAAGGAAAGCAAAGAGGATGGGGAATTTGCTTTGCCCAAACCTCAAACTCACAGTGCGCTGGCAGCTTGTCCCATCCACAGTCTCTGGCAGGCTCCCAATTTGTCCTTGGTAGGAGCAGTTGGTATCCCTATTGCCTGGGAGTTTGCTTAACCCAGGCACACATCAAGAGGATCCATTGTTATAGGTACTCTGTTTGACAATACTCCAAGGCACCAGCAAAACAGCAAAACAGGTCTACTCACACAAAAGTTAAGGGGTTCTGTATAAGTGAAGAACTCAATATTATTTTGTAAACTTCAAATAAACTCCCCAGTCTGATGAGGAGGAATGAGCAAGCTCATTGCCCTTCTAATGTTGAAAGCAATATAAATATCAATTAAAGAGAGAATAAAGGAAAGCAAAGAGGATGGGGAATTTGCTTTGCCCAAACCTCAAACTCACAGTGCGCTGGCGGCTTATCCCATCCACAATCTCTGGCAGTTTGTCCTTGGTAGGAGCAGTTGGTATCCCTATTGCCTGGGAGTTTGCACACATCAAGAGGATCCATTGTTACAGGTACTCTGTTTGACAATACTCCAAGGCTCTCTGTCCCGAAACTGATCAAGGCACACTGTATCTCATGCACCTCTCAAAGCAGAGCCCTTTCTCCAACATGCCCTCCAGGGTACCCTAAGGGACTAGCCCCTCTCTGCTCAGACGCCTGAAGGCAAGACTCACCAAAGAGGAAACGGAAGACCCCCAAGGCTGCAGGATCAGTAGGCCTGTTCATCAAGCAGACAAAGCCATGCCAGCTGGAAAGATCAGCACTTTCAAAGCCCAAGAGAGACTTGGTCCAGTTGCAGTGGGATGGCACAGCATCCTGGGTCTTCTTTTCCCTGCTCTGCTTCTTCTGACTGGCAAGAGTCTCTGCCGCTTGGGCTCCTGCAAAAGAAAGGTGGGCAGGACAGATTGGCCTCAGGGGCAAAAAAACCCAGGCACCTTGAATGGTAAGGACACTGAAGATGGAAAAAGCACAGGAAGTGTCTTCCAAGCCATTCAGGAGTGGAACATGCATATTTATTTATTAGATTGTTTTAGTCGCCATTCACCCAAAGGGTCTCATAGCAACTTACAACATGGTAAAACCAACAAGGTAAAAACAAATACAAATATAAAATATTAAAATATGTGGCTATCACCATGCCACTAATAAAAACAGCCCAAACATTGGAAGTTACCCTCCAATGCCAACCTAAATAGTTTGGCCTTGCATGCCCTGCAGAAACTACCAAGTCCAGCAAGGCATGGGTGTCATCCAAGAGTGCATTCCACAGAGCAGGGGCCACAACTGAGAAGGCCCTTCCCCTGGTGACAGCAAACTGAACCATCCTGGGGCCAGGCACCTGCATGGGAGGGTGTAAAGGGTTTTGGTACAAATTACTTCAGTTTTTAAAAAGTATTTTGGTACAAATTACTTGAATTTCAAAAAGTGGTAGACTGCCCCCTCCCAGCCCCTTCACACACCCATGGTGGCACATTGTCCTGTCAAATGACACTGGAGTCTCTGCCTCAGTGCCTCCCCCCCTTGCATTAGGGAGACCAACTTTAGTTGGGAAATTCCTGGAGATTTGGATGTGGACCTTGAGGTGTGTGGGGTTTAGGGAGGGGAGGTGGCTCAATAGGAAATCGATTTCCTAGAGTTGGACCTGGAGGCTAGACTCCATGTGGGATTCCCCTGGAGAAAATGGATACTTTGGAGGGTGGACTCTGTGACATTGTACCCCACTGAGGTCCCTGCCCTCCCCAGGCTCCATCATCCCCGAATCTTCAGGAGTTTCCCAACCTGGATTTGACAACCCTGACGCCCCATCCTCCGCTAGTGACGGGGGGAGACCCGCAACCAGCCTACAGGGCTGCCGTTTCCTCTGAGGAAACTGATTTTTGTACTCTGGAGATTACTTGTAATTCCGGGGAAATACTTGGAGGCTGGCAATCCTAGTTGCAGACACGTGTTTAACTGGCCCTTCGAACGGGGGCCCGCCTCGTCAAGGCATTCACACGCGCCCCACCCAGCGTGAATGGAGTCCCAAGAAAGCACTCTTTCGCCTCGCCTCGCTTTAATTTGGCCCACCGGCCTCCTCGCGGCTGCCCCACTGGGGGCCGCGGCCCATTCTGCGCCCGGTTCTTCCTCCTCTCCCCGGAAAAGGGGTAGCAGCACTGCCTTGGTGCAGCCAGCTCCCGGCCGCGAGAAGGAGCTGCCCACCCAGCCTGACCCGTCCCAACCCAGCCTGACCTGCTGCGGTAACTCGACCCGGTCCCATCTCCAGGCGGCGGCGGCGGCTAGAAGACTGATCAGGCGGGCGAAGAGCGAGCCTCGTCCTCGCGCGTCTGAGGCCTATTGCTGGCTCGCTCCGAAATTCGCTCCCAAAGCTCCACCCAGGCACCGCTGAAGCCCAGCCCAGGAATGGCTGCGGTGCGTGCCCCTTTGTTGACTCCGCGGCTGCCTCTGGACGGAGCGCCGGCCGAAGATCTGCTTCTCATTAGATATTTCCCCTTCCTCGACTCTGTCATGGCTGGTGGCAGGGTTTCTCTCTCTGCGCCTGGGAACGTCGGAGGTTGGGCAGTGTGACCCAGCAGCGAAAAGAGGACTGTTAGGAGGCACTCAATTTGCCAGCAAGTTTGGAAAACGCAACAGTGGCCACAGGATTGGAAAAGGTCAGTATACATTCCAATCCCAAAGAAGGGCAATGCCAAGGAATGTTCAGACTATCGCACAATTGCACTCATATCACACGCTAGCAAGGTGTCAGCAAGCTGCCATTCTGTTTTCTGTGACCTCTGTGTACATATTCTTACCCTGTTGCACCCGGCTTGTTTCTACTATCCTGCTTCTGTGCTGGAATGCATAAGATAACTACTGGTGGATGTGTGGGGGAGAAGATGCTGTAATGCTTGCCTATTGCTATCTCATGAGAACTGCACCTGTGTTTTGTCTGATGTTCTGCCTGGTTCCCATGGACTGGGCGCGCAACCGTTTCATTAGCCCGCCAGCGGGAATATTATTCATTGGATATGTATCTGTTTGAATTTCCTTTATTATGCTCGCCCTAACTGTGTATCCCCAGTTCTAACAAAGAACGTGTTTGAGTATGTCTTCAACGCTTTGAAATAAATTTTGCTTTTCTTGAAAACGTGGATTTATTCTCGATGCTTGGGGATCCAACATATTGTTAGAACTCCCTTTCTCCTATCGTTCCGAATCTGGCAAGATCATGAGCGGAATTGAGGGAAACCTACCTAACACGGAGGGGGACTCTGCCTGGATGAATCACAAGCGGGAATTAAGATTGCCGGGAAAAACATCAACAACCTCAGATATGCAGATGTATCTTTCTGTAATGGCAGAAAGTGAAGAGGACCTAAAGAGACTCTTGCTAATGGTGAAAGAGGAGAGAGCAAAAGTTGGCTTGAAACTCAGCATCAAAAAAACTGAGATCATGGCATCCAGCCCCATCACTCCTTGGCAAATAGAAGGGAAAGTCGTGGAAGCAGTGACAGACTTCATATTCCTGGGATCCAAGATCACTGCAGACGGTGACTGCAGCCATGAAATTAAAAGACTCCTGCTCCTTGGGAGGAAAGCTATGACAAACCTAGACAGCATAACAAAAAGTAGAGACATCAGGCTGCCAACAAAAGTCCTTATGGTCAAAGCAATAGTATTCCCAGTAGTAATGTTAGTTAGACCATAAGGAAGGCTGAGCGCCAAAGGATAGGTACTTTTGAATTACAGTGCTGGAAAAGACCCTTGAGAGTCCCTTGGACTGCAAGGAGATCAAATCAGTCAATCCTAAAAGAAATCAACCCTGAGCAGTGTTCCCTCTAAACGGAGTTAATGTAAGCTAGCACACTGTTTTTTAGCCTCCAACTCACACATTTTTGTCTTAGCTCAGGAAGGATGGCTCCAGAGCAAACTAACTTATGCAGTAGCTGAATTGCTCGCTCACAACTTTAATGCTAGTAGCCCACAAAGTAGAATTTTTGCTCACAAGACTCCACAGCTTAGAGGGAGCATTGACCCTGAGTGTTCCCTGGAAGGCCAGATACTGAAGCTGAAGCTCAAATATTTTGGCCACCAAATGAGAAGGGAGCACTTACTGGAGAAGACCCTGATGCTGGGAAAGATTGAAGGTAAAAAGGGGATGGCAAAAGATGAGATGGTTAGACAGTGTTATTGATGCAATGAACATGAAATTAAGCAAACTCCGGAGGATGACGGAAGACAGGAGGGCCTGGCATGATGTGGTCCATGGGGTTGCGAAGAGTCAGACTCGACTGTGACTGAACAACAAAAGCCACACCTGCTCTGTCCTGTGCTGCCCTCAAGAGGGAGCCCTCATTCATTAGAGACGGTGGTTGTGGCATGGTTCAAAGGTAATTATTGCAACTAGGTGCTGTTTCTTGCTATGGTCTCTTCCTCATGTTACCAGACTCTGCATTAGAAATGGTTTGTAACTTGCTTTATGTAAATGTTCACTCAATATGTTTATATTTTACTTCTTGTTAATTAAAAAAATTTTTTTTATAAAAAAAGAGGGAGCCCTCTGCCAGTCTAGAGTGTCTTATCTCATGCATCTTGACTCTCACTAGCCCTTCCTGGCAACTAACTACCCCACACCCTCTCTCTACCTATATGGAAGTCTGTTTCAAAGTATTTGAAGAAGTGTGCATGCACATGAAAGCTTAAAGGTGCCACTGGACTCAAACTTTGTTCTGTTGGTTCAGACCAACACGGCTACTCGCCTGCATTATCTCATGCAGTGCCCTCTGGTGGTGTCTGATCTTCTCCAATGTGGCAGGGGTGTGCTTTGTAAGGCCAAAAAAGGTCCATGCAGCCTGTGTTCTGTTCCCAGCAGAAGGCAGTCAAATTGTTCGTTTTGATAGGCATGCTGCCAGGCTGTACTACCCAAATCCATACCTTCTTTTCCTGAACTAGAAGAGGCAGAGACAGGCAGTAGCGGTTAACCACCCATTTCTCTAGTGTGAGGGTGGAAGCGCTTGGGCATGCTGACAGCAGAACTGGACCAAACATTCAACTTTAGAGATAAATACTACCATTTTGGGTTACAGATCCAGGTGGGTAGCTGTGCTATATTAGAATGGTATATTGGAATGCATTTCTCTGGTTGTAACAGAGGAGACATAACACTATACTACAAATCACCCCACCTCAAGGAAAAATATATTAGTTACCTCCATGCTTGAGAGGAGACAGATGGAGCGTAACAAAGTCTTAATTAGCACTCAACAATTAACATATCTATCTTCAATTTTGACATATTTATTTGCTTCACTGCCCTTCCCCGTTGAATCCAAACAATGATGTCCTTATAAACCCCCTTGAATCCAAACAATGATGTCCTTATAAACTTATCTTGTTCCTCTTTGCATCTGTTAAAACATCTTCATTATGTTGTATGCTAATTTGCTATTCAACCTCTGTCTTATATGTATGGACTGGTAAGTACCATTTCATTGTATCTGAGGAAGTGTGCATGCACACAAAAGTGCATACCTTGAATACAACTTTATTGGTCTTAAAGGTGTCACTGGACTCAAATGTTATTCATTTTGGATTATAGGTAGAGAATCATGAAGGACAACTTTTGGGAACTACTCCTCAAAACTTTGCAGACTAAGAACCTGTGTGACAAGGAAAAGGGGTAGAACCTTACTTCTTGTTGTTCTTGTGTTTGCATGGAGAGTTTTTAATGTGAAGGAACAATCAAAGGTAGAATTCCCACACCTACAGTCTGAAGGGCTCTTCTACTTCATTCCCTTGTATGTGAGAGTCCAGCCTAAGTAGCAATCATTACATCCTAGGAGACCACTATATCCTATATATCTTTGACAGCCAGCATAGGGTACTGGTTCACATGTTGCACTAGGGTCTGGGAGACCTGGATTCAAATACCCACTCTGCCATGAAGCCTATTGGATGAGCCAGTCATTCTCACAGCTTAACCTACTCACAGAGTTGTTGTTGTAAGGGTAGAGTGAAGGAGGGAGAATGTTTTAAGTCTCTTTGGATCCCCATCTCCATTTGGGTTTAAATAAGTAAATGACATTGAGTCACAGGCAAATTGCTACCTCTCAGGATCTGCTATACATCTTTTCCCTGCAACAAACAGGACCCTTTGGTGTCGAGGATTTCCTGAATTTGGAGGTGCAAGTAGGCATTCTGCCAGATTTGTCAGGGAGGTTTAGACAGTTTTCTCATGACATCTTAAGGCTTCTGGCTAGGGGAGTTGGGTACCCAAGAACTGAGAAAGTAAACTTTCCCCCATTATTCAATAAATAAATATGTGTTCCTTCTTTTTCTTTCCTTTTTCTTTTCCATTGCCTTTATTGGTGATAAATGATTACTCACAAACACTTTCAAATGTTTTGAACTCAGCTCCCCTTCCAAACTTCAAACCACTGCCAGCTGTTTTGTCAGAAGATAAACTTACAGAATCCACGTACAAACTGTGTTGAGGCAGTCCAGGAATTAGGGCATTAAATTCAAAATCACACATACATTGTAAAGCACAGAAAGACTAAAATGCAATTGCAAATCAGGTTTTCTACAAGGGCACTAATCAATTCAGAAGCACAATATATTTTAAACTGCATTTATTGTTTCCACACATGAATGACAACAGTGGAGAAGGGTAACAAAGAAGTCATTTGTGAATTCTGGTTATGGGACTGAAATGGCCTTGGTCACCCTGCTAGATGACCACCCTGGTAGACATGGGAATGCCACCCTGTTAATTCTCCTGGATTTTTCAATGGCTTTCAATACCATTCATTATGGTATCCTTCTAGACCATCTTTTGGGGTTGGGACTGGGACCCACTGTTTTATAATGGTTTGGTCCTGCCTTAAAGTAAAAAATAAATTAAAGGTAAGTTTCCAAACATTGTGCTGGGGGACTTTTGCTCATCCCCTTGGCTTCTGGCCTCTGGGGTTCCACAAGGTTCCATCTTGTCCCTTGTGCTTTCAAACATCCATGTCAAGCTGCTAGGAGAGGTCATCTGGAGATCTGGGCTGAGTTGCCACCAATACACGGCTGATACTCTGCTGTATCTCATATTTCCAGAAGATCCCAGGGAGGCTCTGGAAACCATGAACAGGTGTCTGGAGGCAGTTGTGTGATGGATGAGGGCTAACAAGCTGAAACCTAATTCTGACAAAAAAAGAGGTGCTACTGGTCTTGGGGGTGGGTCTGACCCACGAATTGGGATGTCTTCTCTTCTGGATGGGGTTGCACTCCTCCTAAAGGAGCAGGTTTGTAGCTTGGAGGTGCTGCTGGACCCGGGTGTCCTGTTGAACAAGCTGGTGGCAGAAGTGGCCAGGGGTGCCCTTCAACAACTTTGTCTGGTGAGCCAGCTGCAACCCTTGCTAAGCATAAAAGAACTCACCACTGTGGTGCATGCTCTGATGACATTACTGTAAGGCACTCTATGTGGGGTAGCCCTCGGAGACTTTCCAGAAGTTTGAGTTGGCACAGATTAATGCTGCAGCCAGAACACCAACTGGAGTGGGTCACAGGGACTATGCCACTCCAGTCTTGTTTAATCTACACTAGCTCCTAATTTGCTTCCAGGCACAATTAAAGTTGCTGGTATTGACCTCTAAAGACCTGTATGGTTTAGGGCCAGCATACCTGAGAGATTGCCTTCTGGAACATTAGCCTACCCAATCTCTCTGGTCATCTTCAGAGGCCCTGCTCGGAGTGCCTCTGCCATCTGAGGCTAGACAGATGGCAATGCAGTAAAGGGCCTTCTCAGTCATGGCCCTCAGTCCCTCCCTAGGGCGAGTGGTCAGTCTCCCTCTATCATTGTCTTCTGCCAGTTGGTGTCAGAAGTGAATGACATTGTCTGGTCTGAATTCAAAGATTTCTGAGAATGTTGATGAAGTAATTCAGTGTTCAATGCTGATGAAGTAATTCAAACGCCATCAACACCAATGAACCATACATATTACATCTCGTTTCATGTATACCTTTATCAAAGAGGGTAGCGTTGTTACAAAAATAAAATTCTATTATTAATATTAGCAAAAAAAACACAAGGCTGTACATACAACTGGCTATGATATAATATACTTACAATGTTAATCCATTTGGAAAATGCTTTAGAGATGTAAAAGTCAGTAGGAAGAATGGAATTTACATCACACTAATGGATTTGATTAATGTGACTATGAGATATGACTAGAGTGTTTGCCAAATGGATTAACATTGTAAGTATATTATATCATAGCCAGTTGTATGTTGTACTACTTGTGTTACTCTTTTGCTAATAGAATTTTATTTTTGCAATTAGATAAAGGTATTTCAACGCTACCCACTTTGATAAAGACATACACGAAACGAGATGTAATACGTATGGTTCGTTGGTGTTGATGGCGTTTGAATTCCTTCCAGTAAACTGAATACTGAAAAAAGAATTTACAAGTTGGCGAAGAACCTTTTTTTTTGGCACAATACATCATGGTTGTTTGCTTCCTTTCAACTTCCATCCGTGATCTCTCTCTTTGGTTTGCACCACCTGGAGGTTGGCAACCATACGGTGTCACGGTAAAGGAAACTAAGTGGCCAATTAGGTGTGGAAGAAGATGGGGACTGGGAGGCAGTTGCTGGATGAAGGGGGCCCAAAGGGCAGATCCAAGTAAGTCCAGAGAGACGCTGACCTGGATAGCCCAGGCAAGCCCGATCTCGTCAGATCTCGGAAACTAAGCAGGGCCGACCCTGGCAAGCGTTTGGATGGGATATCTCCAAGGAATACCAGGGTTGGGATCCCCACACAGCCTCTCAAGCCACCTCCCTGAACGTCCTCCATGCCCCACTAGGGGTCGCCAGAGGTCGCCATGACTTCCAGGCAGGGGCACACAAAGAAAAAAGCCCAGAGGGAAGCTGGAACAGGCTTTTAGTGGCGAAGCTGCCCTTTCCCCTAACACCATTCTCTTGAAGAAGCCGCTCTTTGCTGGTCGCTTCAGGCTCCCCTCGGCCAGCTCTGAGGCTCGCTTAGGAGAACTTCCCGCTCTGGACCGCACGCCGGGACTCTTCGCTCGGGAAGCTTTGGGCACACTGATGCCGGGACTGGTACGCGCAGCAGACGACGCCCCCTCCTCCGGGCACTTCGCTCGCCCCATCTTCTCTCCCCACCCTCCCCCGGGGGGGGGGAGGCGCCTGCCGTTCCCTCCGGCTTGAGAGCCGGCAGTCCGGAGTGAAACCCAACCGGGCGCTTTAAGAGGCAGCGGGGCGGAGGCGGCCGCGGGCCCGCCCAGGGCCACCTGAGGGGAGGACGAGGAAGTAGGAAGTTTCGGGCCAGTTGCAAAGTTCCAAGGAGCGGCTGCCGGGGGGCCTCCGGGGCGAGCCAGCAGAAGACGGCCACATGGTAAGGCCGCGGTGTGTGTGTGGGTGTGTGTGCTGCGCTGAGTGCGCCTCGGGGGTCCCCCAGGACGCCCCCTCTTCCTGCCGCTTGGCCAGAGATGTGGTGCCAAAAGAAGCTGTCGTCTCCTCGGCCCACCATCGCCTTGTATTCGCCAGCATCTCCCCCCCGGGCGCCTCTTGGGTAGGGCAGGACTCAGGAGGGGAGGGGAAGATCCATGAAGATCCGACTTTTACTTTATCCCGTTTTCCGCGCAGACGTTCGACTCTGCTGGGCATCGGCGCTTGGTCTCCTGCTGGAGTCGCCGCCACCTCCCCCTCTTCCTTTTCCAGCTTCGAGCTCTCCCGGTAGTGCTGATGAGAACGAGGCGCCGCTGTGTCCTGCACCCTTTGTCCACCACCGTTTCCTAGGCTTCGCTCCGGATTCCAAAGGGAAGGGGGATTGGGTTTTTTTTTGATATGCAGTTTGGAAGTACTGCGGAGTTACTCAGGGCGCTGAAATCCCTTCCATTCCGGGATCCCCCAAACTCTTATTTTCGAGACCACGAGAGCTAGACACTCTATCCTTTTTCGTAAGTGAAAGCGGGGACTCTGGGAATGCTGGATTTGGCTCCGAAGCTCGTGTGGATGCTAGATGGGCTGCAAATTTGCCCCAGGTTTAGCACACAGAACGGAGATTGGCGTGTAAGGTTTGCTTTGTTTGGTACTCCTGAACTGTGTGCATCAGAGAGTGCCGAATTCTTTTGTAGTGAGAAGGTGGAATCCCTGGCCTGCCTGAGAAGTTTTATGCAAATGAAGCACACTTTATAAGGGAAGAAGCCAGGGGTTGCAAACTCTGACTCCCTTGCACTTGGGCTTGTGAGATTCACTGAGACTTGGTTGCATGCTTAACTGGAAAGCCAGAAATTGTAAGGAAGTTAAAGCGGAAGTTCTTGAGCAGCTGCTCTTTGTATTGGAGACAGCCATTTGGTCAGTGTGGTGCAATGTCTGGGGAAACTGGGTTTGAATTCCTGCTGGAAGCTTTCTAGGTGACCTTGGGCCAGTCAGGCAGTCTCAGCCTAACCTACCTCACAGGGCTGTTGTGAGAATAAAATGGAAAACAGGAGAATGTTAGCCGCTTCGGCTCCCCGTTGAGGAGGAAAGTGAGGTGTAAATAAAGCAAAACAAAAATAAAATCTGGCCAAGGTTATGGCTGTGGCTGAAGATGTCCAAGGCTTTGGTCTACCTTGGTTACTGTTATGTAGGTGCTCATTCTTGATGGAGGATATTTTCTTATAAATCAGTGTCCTCCCCTCAGTCCTCTCCTCCACACTGTATTGCCTTATATTTTCATGCTCCCGGCTGGAATCTGGCCAAACGGCTGTGGTGTTCAGATTCTTCTCTCTATTCCAGCGTGAAATGGGGAGATGACTCCACCCCCTCCTGCACCTTCAGGTTTACTCTGTGCAAGGGTTTTTGTTCCTTATTAGCCTCCCAATGCAACAGCTGTGGAAAACTGAAGGTGGGTGGGAGGGAGAGACCTGGCCAGCTTCCATACAAGGGAGTCTATGGCTGTGTGGGGATCTCAACCCTGGGTGTAGTCTGGGCCTCTGTGCGCAACTACTGCTGGAGCAAAACTGCCTCTGGGTAGCTCTGTGGGTTGCCCCCTACCCTGTGCTGCTTGTATGTGTGCGATCCATTGTGGTTTAATGGTTGCAGTGTTGGACTCGGATATGGGAGACCCAGGTTCAGATCTGTACTCTGCCATGGAAGCTCACCTGAATGACCTTGGGACAGTCTAGTCTACCTCACAAGGTTGTTGTTGTAAGTCTAAAGTGGCGGAGTGGAGAGCTGTGTAAGCTGCTAAGGCTAACGTGGCGGAGTGGAGAGCTGTGTAAGCTGCTTGGAGTCTCCTGGGAGGGGGGAAGTGGAATATAGATAAAGTAAATCAATAAATCTTGTGGAAGATGACCTAACTGTCGATGGATGGATCATACAGGAGAAGAGGGAAACTTGGGAGAAGAAAATCCAGTTTTGAATTTACAGAATGTGAGATGGCAGTGAAACTTCCCAGCAGATGGGCAGCTGGAGAGGTGGGAGTGGATGGAGGTAGAGGCCGGTGTCATCAAGTATACATGGTTCCAAAAGGCCTAGGATTATTGATGGCCTGTGTATATATAGAGAGAACAGGGGGCCAGGAGAAGGGAAGAAAGCTAAGTTCCCCCTGCTACTGCAGAGGGGAGGTGGGAAGATTCTCTCTGCTTCCCTCCTTCCATGCCCCAGCATCGCAGACAACCTGCATGCTTTTGAAAATTTGAAAAAGTGTGCCTTGCACACAAAAGCTCATACCTTAAATAAACTTCTCTTGGTCTTAAAGGTGCCACTGGACTCTAAATTTGTTCTATTGCTTCAGATCAACACATCTGACTACCTGAACCTACATGCTTGACATCCATTCTGGGAAATGTGTCCAAATCTCATGTAATTTCCAGGATGCTTGATATTTCCCAGAGTGCACTGGGCACCATGAGCATCATGTGGCCAAAGAGCCTGGATGGCAAAGACCTGAAGAGAGGGAGGGAGAATTTTGCCTTCCAGTTGGCACATCTGATACTGCCTGCCTATGCAGCAGCAGATAAATTGGGGTGTGGTGTTGGGGCATTCAGAACTCTCCATGGGGTAATCTAGAGCATTCTGGGGCTATGAGCGCTCCAAATTGGACATGGGGTAACCAGCACCGTTTGCCACTTTCTCAGCAAAGAGATGTGCTTGACCAAGTGGGAAATTGACCCATCACTACAGGCAACCAGCTAAGGACTGAGTCACAAAAAGCTCAGGTGTGAAAGAGTCATGCAGGAGAGTGACCAGCTGTATCAAAGGCAACAGAGAGAGATCAAAGGGGATATGAACAGATTTGAACTTGCCTGTTAGGAGACAGGCAGTGATTTCGGCAAGGGCAATTTCAGTGAACCGGCGAGGGCAGGTGACAGAAAGTGGTGGGTCAGGACAACAAGCTTGTGATACAAGAAAACGGGCAGTGACTCTGAATCAAGGCATCTGATGAAGAGAGCTGTGTTTCTCGAAAGCGTATGCTACAATAAAGTGTGTTAGTCTTAAAGGTGCTACTGGACTTTTTACTATTTTGGATCAAGGCAGTGAGGGATTTTGTTATCCACATTGAAGGACAGACATGAATGTGAAGCCTTCTCTCACCTTTGCTTCGATCACCAAGTTGTGCTGCTTCATCCTTATCAACATAGCAAAAACACAGCTTTTCCCCTCGCTGCACTCAGTGTAAACTTGTGTTGCTTTCATTTTCTCTGGCTTTCTGGTTGTGGCTCCTTAGCTCTCTCACTTCTACCTAGAACTTTGCCACCAAAACAATCCACCTCTCTGACCATGTGATGCCCCTCCTTAAATCCCTGTGCTGGCTTCTCTTCCTCAATCCAGCACAAGCAACTCTTTATCTCCATGCCCTTGTCCCTCCCCTCCTTCTTATCTCTGCATTCTTATATCCTGATGCATCTGGCCCTGTGGCTCCTCTCCTTAGCCATCCAAAGTTCTCCTGATTCGCCAACAACTCTGCTTTTCTACCCCACATGTCAGGAACTGCCTCTTAGAACACCTGCATAATGGCCCCCACTTCTCAGCTTCCTTCAAAAGCCTACCTCTGACTCAATGTCAACTTCTTAGACCCCCATCACCTACTGAAAGTTAGTCGAAGTCTGCAACAGAAGCAAATGCAGTTCTTTCCCTGTTGATCTCCACTTCTCTCCCATCCCATTACTGTCTTCCTCATTTTAAATGCCGAAGAGCCAAAAAGCACTGGCACATGGTGTCTGTTTCTCTGATCGTTGGTGGTGCTGTATTTATAGTGTCCTCCCACCTTTCTACTGTGGCAGTGATGAATCCCAGGTTCCTGTGAGTGGCATGCTCCACACGTGCCAACCCTGTAAAACAGATTAGGTTAAGAGAGCTGCTGTCCTGAAGCCACAGTACTCTCAAATGTAGAACTTGGCTGGTTCCGGGAGATGCCAAGCACCCTTTTGCGTGCCTCCTGATCATCCCCTATAAGTTCACCTCTCCCCCCTCCCAAGGCTCAGTTCCCACTGAGAAACCCATCTGGAGGAAAACTGCTGGCAAAGAGGGGCATTTCCTAGAAGAGATGGAAGATTAGGAGGAAGTGTTAAGCATCCCCTGGCCTCCGCAATCACAGTAGCATTACCTAAAATTGAGGACCGGCCTCCCTCCGCCATCACAGTAGCATTACCTAAAATTGAGGACTCTTGTAACATTTTGTTCCCCTGATATACATTAGTAAAATCACCTTTATGACTGCTGTGGTATTCTGTTTCTCACCTTCTCATTATGGCCTCTATGCTAAACTGGGAAATCTCTAACTCCAGTCTCTGTTGCCTGCTACCTTGGTGGGTATCTGAACTCACATTGTGTAGTTTCTGGCAAAGAATTTTGTGTTCTTAGATGCTTTCAAAGAAAGGGTTAACTAGGGTTATATTTAATTACTAGCAATCAGGTTTTGAGCAAATAAATGCTAATTTTAATTAAGCTGCTAAAGGACAAAAGCATGTTAACATATTTTATTTATTTTTCGCATTTATACCCCGCCCTCCCCGATAGGCTCCGGGCGGCTTTGTCAGAAGAGAATTAAAACAAACATGTGCATAGCAAAAATGTCTCTGTCGCCCCACACAGTGCTACCATTTCCCAAGACACACAGTTGGATCAACGTCTTGACTGAAGCGGTTGCAGTTGCTGGCATCCTCTCCCTTTACAGCTGTGGATTCTCAGTGCCAGTCAGTCATCCCCTCCACTTAGGCTGAGTGTCTTGGCTCTTGAGTGAAGTGTCTTCATTAGGAAGCCCAACTCTCACTTCCAGCTGTGGTGTTTTCTCTCTCGCTCTCTGCTTCCCAAGGCAGCCAGAATCTGGACCTTCCTTCTAGGCAACTATTTTAATTCAAGTACAGCCAAATGCCAGCCTTCCAAAAGTTAATTAAGGTATAATTTTTT